GAGTTCTTTGCCCAGTCGTTCGGGAGCCTCCACGTGGATGGCTTCTTAGAGATCCACGAGCGATGTACGCCTGTCGCTGAGATGGGATACGGGCCTAAAACGTCGAATGGGGTTATGGGGTACCCTCACGCCAATTGGAATGGAACTTGACAGGGGTTCCCTTTAAAAGGAAAATGGTCTTCCAACCCCCCCCCCCGAACGTCAGGTTCTATGAGAATTGGTGGGAGGGAACTTTGAAACCAGGTTATATTCTTAGTAATTATTTTGCCCCTGATGTTAAGAGCTGAGCCTTGCTTGTAGAGCCAGGAGCAAGTTGTCGGATGAATCAAACACGACTTGAATGGGAACGGGCTTCGGGAAAAGTATTTGGATGTTCACGGATTTCGCTTTGCCTGGATTTTGGGTGGTTGGGCAGGCTGTTGGAGGGTTCCAGGTGCTGGCTGTTGATCCGTCAAAACATTAGATCCTTTGGACAATTGTTTGGTTTTTCTTTCAACAAGGTACCGGATTTGCCCATTCGACCTGCTAAGCATTTTCGCTTGTCTGTTTGCTTCTTCTCAGAGTCGTGAATCTTGGTACCTTCAAAGAGGTCTTGAAGCGTCCCGTCCAATCAATGCTTAGGATAGGAGTTTGGATCTTATTTCATCTCATTTCAAGGTGGCGGTTTCTGTGTCAAGATTCTACCAACTCCTGCCGGCCGCAGCACTTACAAACACATGCGTGGAAGTGCAGCCCCAGAGGCCCCAGAGGCCCCCATGAATTTGACCAACCATGCTCAAGAAGCTCAAAGGTCCTGCATGATAAGTCGCCGATAAATCAGAACAGCAACACTTCGACTTCACCAGCGCTTTCTTCTTTTCCCCGGAAAAAAAGAAGAAGGAGCAGCTTCATATTTTTCCAAGAAGCTCACCGGAACACAGGAGTTCACCAGGGCCTTTGATCTTCCGGACTCAGGATGAAGGACCCCCCGCAGGAGGTGGACCAGGAAGTGGTGACGCTGGCGCTGACGAATCAGCTGCGCCCGACCTGAACGAGTGTTTCATGCAGAGCCGTGGTGCCCTGTTTCCTTTGTTGGAAACTACCAAATAGGTGCCCTTTTTATCTCATGTATATTGGAGATCTTGGTTTACAAAAATGGTTTGTGGAAGAGGAACCCGTGTACTTCCATTATTTGCTGGAGGTAGGGTGGGGTGTCATTCAAAGTTCGTTATCAGACCAAGTTGTAGGCTGGAGGCCGCCGCGGCAGCCATGAACTTGGACGTCTTGGGCTTCTTGCAACACGTGCTGCAGAAGGCAGGTCGGTCGGGGGGCGCATACGTTTTCACAACCGGGCCCTGGTCGCTTTGGAAAGGAAGAGAAGTGACAAATATAAGAACGAATCGCCTTAACAGTGGTTGGTGGACCTTTTTGTTCCCACTGAAATCTGATGTCCACCAAGGGCGAATTCAAACTCGGGGTCTTTGTTTGGTACCGTTTTTGGGGTTGGGAACAAGGGACCTCCACAACAGAACAGAGCAGTGGCTTCATACGATTATTTGAAGTGAGTGTGGAAACCCTCATGTTCTGAAGAATCCCCAAGGTCTCATGACCCTCCCCTCAAATAGCTCAGTTGCCCAAAGCGAATCGACCTGATCAACTTTTGGTTTTCCTTTTGGTCCATGTTTAGTCGAGGTTCCAACAGTGATCACCTTTGACTTGCTGGGAATGAACCCAGGCTTTGGTCCCCTTGAAAGGAGCCCACCAGTTGGGTCTGGTTTTGTTGGGCATTCCATGTCTCATTCCCTGCTCGCACGTTTTCTGGGTCCGAGCTGGGCAACTGGTTACGTCCGGTCCAGGTGGGCTGCGAGGCCTCCCCGCCCCTGGTCACGCGAGGCGACCTCCAGCTTTGGCGCACCTCGGAGCGGATTTTCGCGCCAACCCCGCGCTGTGGGCGGTGGTTTTGTGGCACTTTGGTAATGTAGGCGGTTGCGGGTTGCCCATCCAAACTTGCGAACTGGTTTGTGGGAACTTTGGGAAATCGAAAAGCGCCAACACGTTTGATATTTGTAGCCTCCTGTCCACTAACCTGCGACACACCTGAGGGTTTTTTGCAGAAAATTGTCTTTCAGCCCCCCCCTCAGTCAGGTTGTCAGTGATGGGAGGGTACTTCTCCGACATTTGGAGAGGGCATAGGTAATTTGAGTGGGTGTGTAGTTATTCAATTGATGGTCGGAAACTAAAAGACGACACAACATATAACGCACTATTCACCCGTCGAATTTCCGGCAAAACAAGGGCTGATTTCTCAACAACATATCATTTGCTGATCTTGACTCGAGTTTTTTTCAAGTACCCCACACCCTTCCAATGATTCAGGCCCTTTGCCCATTTTCCGTGGCGTTGCCCTTGGGCCTTTGGGGTCGTCTCTGGGTTTTCTTTCCTACCAGATTCTTTTTCCTACCAGTTCTTTCCACCCTTGGGCTCTTGGGCCGTTTTTCAGGTCGTCCCCGGGTTTTCCCAACCATCCTTCAGCTCAGGTGAGCGCTGGCCGCGGCTGGCGGCCCCCATCTTCCACGGGGGCGCGGCCAGCGGCTGCTGCGCGCCGCTGAAGCTCGCCGTGGCGCTGCCGGCGCAGGCGGCGGCCGGCGCGGACCCGGAGGATCTGCGGGGCTGGCTGCCCCGGGTCACGGAGGCCCGAGCAAGCGCGCGGCCGCGTTTTTCGGGGGATGTTTTGTTTTTTTGCGCCGTGGTATTTGGGGGATCAGACCGGTGGGTGTCCGGCCTTTTTGCCTTGGGTTTGAGGGGGTCTGTTTTGAATCAGCCGAAAGGTGCCAGAAAACAATCATTGATTGCCAGATTGGAGACATGCCGAGGGGAGGCATTAGCAGCCAAGTAGTGAGTTTCAGTGCCATACAGAGTCAGAACCTTTCCTTGGCTTCCCCAGCCACGGCGCTGAACGACTATTGATTCAATCGTCAACCCCAGGCATTCTCAAGACATGTACTGAATTCATTGGTTCCCCTCGTGGGTCTGGCAAGTGGGATGTTATCCATACGCATCTGATACTCGCCGGGCTGAACGTCAACATAGGGTGGTGGGGCGGCGGGGTGCAGATTTTGCTGGGCCAATCCGCATGTGTTTTTCCAGGTTGGTTACGTGATTTTCTCCGGCTGCGCCATTGCCTTGTAATGTGTTGCGGGTGGAAGGCAAAGCACGCGTCATTCAACCATTCCTGTAACACTGCAAAGATGCGGAGACTTCGCTTACGAAGTTAGCACAGAGCCTGTCCCGTGCTTTTGGCCACACCACATGCACTGAAATTCCACATTCTAGTCATTCTGGGACCAAGAAAGCTGCTTGCTACAAAAGCCCGATGCACGGGGCCCAGAACTGGTGTGGTTTCAATGATGTCCACCAAAGGGCCCCTGATGATCATGCCCACGCCATTCCACGTTAATTGCACGTGTAGCTCAACGCCAGGAAACAGGGCAATGGGACCGAAGCAATACTAAAGGCGATCGAGTGGTGCAACTTGTTTAGGAGGGATTATTGATCACATTTTAGGGAACCACTCCCTATGAATCCACCAAGTTTAGAAAGCGGGGTCAACATGAAGTACTCTCGAAAAGGCACATTCTGTGGATAGATAAAATCAGGGAAGGATGAGCCCCTATTTTATTTCAAACACAATGTTTGATTGGAAAAAAACTCTCGGCGACTCACTCACTCACGATACAAACAACTTCTGGGAACATCGATGGCCGCTTAAAAAACCAAAAACCCGCTGGCCGCGTCTTTCGATCTTTCGTACCCCGCAAAGCGAGGCGCTGAAGGCGGTCAAGGCGGAGGCAGTGCGGGGACTGCAGGCAGGAGCGATTGCGCGGCCATGGACGATTGTTGCTATCGGTGCGATAGGTAGGGAATGAGAAATGGAACGACCCCAAGCAAAATCCTCCAACTGGTGGTTTCCAACTGGTGCTCAGGAAGTAATTTCGGGGATTCCCGAAAGGAAACCACCAGTTGGGATTGTTCCATTTCTCAGGGATCCTGAGAACGCACCAGCCATAGACTTTGTACAGTGGGAGGTTTGACCATTGGAACTTCTTGAGATCAAACCGGGCTGTGACAAAGGTTAAGCGATCGAAGCACTGATGTATGATGTATGAAACAGGTCCGGGTCCCTTATTTGAGGCATCCTTGGTTCCGTTTCTTATTGTTTTGCGCAGACAGATTCGCCCCATGGAAGTGACACATTTGGGGTGACCCTGGGAGGGTGTCCAACAATAGGTTGGACCTCTTAAACATGTTGGTTCGCTTTTGGTTTCCATGGCGCTGCGTCTCTTTCCATGGCGGGCTCCCTAGTGCCTTTAAGGGGGATACCAAGAATGATCCCTCATTTGCACAACTTGAGGGATCCCTTTAAAGGGGATACCAAAAAATGATGCCTTTAAAACAGGGGATACCATGGGATGCCAAAAATGATCCTTTTTCTTATGTTTAAGCAGGTTGCTCTTCAAAGCTGTTTGTCTTCGGAGTTTTCGGCTTCACGATTTCTGGGGATGGGCCGAAAAGAAAGGCACGCCAGCTTCGGCATTTGCAATGCACGTCGGCAAGTCGAGAAGGGGGGGGCTTTGATGGCCGCGTGTTTCAGGTCCCGTGGATTTTGCAGACACTCTTCCTACACAATCGGCGGCCCTTCCATTTCAGCAAGGGCCTGAAGAACTGTTCTTCAGACACACCCTTCCCACACAACGTTGCAGGTAGCGCAGGTTTTTCAGCGACCATTCAAAGGAGTCCCCCACTTTAGGAGATACCCAGCTCGCCGATGTGTGGCAAGGTGAGGATCTTCCGATGGTGATTTCTTATCAAAATGAGTTTGCTAATGGCTGGCCGGTGAAGTGTTTAAGTTTGGGGAAACCTGCTTACTCCCCTGCAAGTTAACATGGCCCAAAAAGGAGACTCTACAAGTGGATGGTTTGTGTGTTTCATGTCAATCTGAAGGAATATAAAGGGCTAAATGATGAAAAACAATTCCCATCATCATGACACAACTTGTTTTTGAACCCCAATCTAAGTTCTTTGGCCTGGTTCCTCCCCCCATCGAACCAGCAAGTTATAGCCATCAAGGCGGCCTGGCCACGTCCAATTTGAAGGGTATTTTGAAGTATGGGTTTGGACGGTAGGGATGCTTGTATACCACCAGAATATGCATGCAAGGCTGGATACCCCTTATAAGTGGTATCTAACCACCTCCAAAGTACATATGGGTGTGTCTTCTTTTGTGGACACCCCGCTAATAAAACAAATACATTGTGCTTTTCCTGTTTGTTTTCCTTTGAGACAACCTAAAAAGCGCACCCTCACAAAAAGACACCCGTATCTGAACATGCCCTTGACCAATTGCCCGGATTCTCACACCAGGCGGACAAAACCACCGCGAGTTTGGTGGTGGAGGGAACAGCCCACGCTCTGCCGGCCGGCATCGCGGCCACTGTCCAGGTGCCGAGAAGAATCTCCTGGTTTGGGGTTTCCGATGTTTACATGTTGAAGTTGAATGACCACAAGAACGCATTGTTGGTTGGTACTTGCAGAAGAATCATCATTCCAGGGTTTCTTAGGTGGCGCAGGATTTCGTCCATCCACAGTATGGAACAGAATCCGCAAAATCATGTCCTTTGGGGTGGGATTTGTTTGATTTGACGGGCTCCAAGTAGGAGAAAATACCAATGTCACTTCCACTGGCGGGGCTTTTCTTGCACAAAAGGGGCTGTCGAAACCTAACCAATCAAAGGGCTCCAGCCTCGTCAGCCAACAGTCTGAAGAGAAGCGCCCTTGACCCCGTCGAATTCACGGGCTCACCAAAAGGAGTTGAAGTGGTTGGAGTGGCTGTTTGTTAGGTCTGCTGCTTGTCTCACTGAGTGCGTCCTGAGAAAGAAGACCCCTGAATCGTCAACCAAAAGGAGTGTTTTTGTTTCTCCCGCAGGGTCCCCAAAGATGTCTCACATCAATACGCTTTCATGAAGATACCCGTGCGAGGTTGTCAATATATATATATATTCTCATCCCTCTTTGGTATCTCCTTTAACAGGCGGCAAGTTTGAAGCCGGCACTGGGCTTGCAAAAGGGTCGCATCTTTTTTTGACTAGCCCCAATTTATCTAGTGCGCAGAATGTAGACCGATTTTCTGAGTCCTTCCCGTGGCAGGGCCTTGTATTACCAGGAGTGAACGTCGAGGGTGTTCTGGGCTTCACTTGCAGTAGGAAGCCATCTTCCTTGACCCCTGGGTCGGCAGAGTTATACTTAAACGCGAGCTGCAAAATGGCAAGACATACAAATGCTTTGATAGCTAGATGGCCAGACTGATACGCAGATAGAAGGGTACCTGCTTAATGGCCATCTTGACAGGATACTTCTTTGCCAATGGTTATTTTCACTGCCTTCTCCTTTGCTTACTTGTACCAACCACAGTTGCTATGGTCTTTTTTTTTGGTTGCTCCTGCTACTTTACTATTTTGGGTACCTTCCTTCCACTAACATGGAACCCGCCAGAGGGTCGCTTGTCCACAGGAAATTGTTTTCCTGTAACTTACCATGCTATATCTACCCAAACTAACGAGCCTATCACACTTAGGTGTTTAGAAAACCCTAAGGGAAACTACTGACCATGGTACTTCCTGCAAAAAGGGGGTTACGGTGGATGGGAACCAAAAGTCCATGCCAAGCTCCATCACTAGGGGCACACGCACCTTATTGGGCCAAGGCTTTCAACCGCCAAACGGGGAAATGTAGGGACCCCTGCCAAAATACGCGCCGCATATCCCCAGTGGCAACTCTCGCAACCCCAGCTGTTAAGAAACTGCCGTGAAACAAGCAAAAGCCAACCAGAAACCTGGCTTCCACCGCTCCAGATGGGGTTTTCTGCCATCCATGTGCCAGAGGAAACCCCTTTATTTTTTTTTTAACAGGCAGGGCCATCCATTTGACCAGAATGACATGCCACGGGTCCCAAGCCCTCGTTGGCCACTCCTTCGGTTCCCGTCGCCTGTTGCCTTCTGCCCGCCCAGGCGCTGCGAAAGGCGGTGGAGGCCGCGGGGGAGCCCGCGAAGGGCGGCTCCGGGGTGCTGATGGCCTACGCGGACGAGGCCTGCGGAGGAGTCGGGGGGGGGGTCTCAATGCGGGTGAAAAATAGGCGAACACGGAAGCCTGGTAGGAGGCATGAACTCAAATCGGCGCTTTTTTTTGGCGGTTAAACAAAATTGACCCACGGCCAGGTGACGGAGCCCGTTTTGGCAGGGAAACCAACTTGCAACAGGTTGGGTGGTTCTTGGAAGCTGTTTTGGTCGGGAAACCACGGGTTTTTGGGTTTTGGGAGAGAAACCGATGCTCATGGCTATGAGTTTTAGCGGTTGGAACTTTCTGAAACCGTGGGTGGGGGACAAATCCCCAGCGAATTCTGATGACCAGTTTGGGTCCTAATGAAAGAGCCAGCCCATGGCAAATTCTTTGGTGAAACCAATCTGGTTTGGTGAAATTCTTTGAAGCCAGACCTCCATTTGGCGTTGAATAGGGAGTTCTGAAAATGGGGCATGTGTCGATGAAGGGCAAGCGTGAAACCAAATGTTCACCGGCTCTCTTCGGGGACCTCGGAGCCAATTGGGCAGCGGCTGGCCACCAACAAGGGTGTGTTGGTTGGGGGGGGGGGGTTGGCATTTTGGTATACACATACACCTTCCCAAGAGTCTTTGTGGAAATCAATCAAAGTAAGGTCAGGATTTATACGTGTATATATATATATATACACATGCACCATAGAATAAATCACAATTGTAAAGGCATCTTCTTGCGATTCTCGAGAAAGCAAAAGTAAACTTGCAAATATGGAGGCTAAGGACTTGTTTGTCGGAGCTGGTTGTTTTGGGAGGACTGGGTCCCCCGCGCTCAAGTGAACCGCTCAGCTTCCCTCGTTTTCCACCTACTTTTTTAGCACCGGCTTGCATTTAGTTGCCCTCCCGCAACTTGCGGGAGGGCCGGCCCATGTCGCCCCATTTCGCCCATTTTGCCGCTGTCGAAGTCACAAAGCCGGAAGGCCTGGAGGGAGGAGGAGCAAGCCTACGAGCTGGAGGCGGGCAAGGCCAAGACTTTGGAGGCGGGACCTGCGCACGGTGCGCGAGGCCGCCTGCCAGCCGGCCATCTCATATCTCTCAGATGCTGGGCGGCTCCCAAAATCGCGGGTTTTTTTCCCCTTGGAGCTGACCCAAAACGGGGTAGCCTCGGGGCCACAGGGGTGGCCACAGGGCCCCTCTGGCTGGGGAGCCGTTTTTTCTGGGACGAATATGGTGGTTTAAATTGGCTTGAGATGAACATAAGAACCAGAACAGGCAACCATCAACACCCCACCCCTCAGCCCCAGCCTTTTTTCTATTTCCCCCCCTCCCCCAACAAAAAAGCGAGCAGCTCGCATATGCAGATACGATCTACCCCCCCCGGCCAGCTCGCCTACGGCCACCATGTCTCAAACCTCCCCCCTCCTCCCCTCCCCAAACACAAAAACAAAGCAGCTCGCATATGCAGACACGCTCAACATGTCTCAAACCTCCCAAACAGCCAAAACTTCACCTGAGCCACAATCAAAACCCGGTAGATGAAGGTTAGTAAGGGGCAGTCGCCAGAAACAGTTGCGGAGATCCGCCTTAATTCTTGAAGCATGATTCTGGGATTACGACCATTTCAATGCCGGGTTTTGATTATGACTCACCTGGACGCCTCTCACGCCTCGCTTCTGATTTCAGGAGCTCGTGGACTTCTACGCGGAGCTCACCGAGGATGGGTGGATCGCCACCTTGGTCAACCCCTTCCGCTCTGCGGACGCCCAAGCGGGGCGCCTCGCCGTTTTGCTTGGACAACCCAGGGGGTGAGGATGGTGAGGGAAAATGAGCTGTTTGTCTTGACTGCTATTCGGTTGGATCTTTAGACTTTCACTTTTTGGTTGAAATCTTTTTGGGTTTGCCACTGAGCCCCCAAAAAGTGATTCACTTTTTGCAGGGGGGTCAACAGCCACCAAGGTTTGAGGTCACATCAGGCTCCATCGGATAAGACAAACAAGAACCAAGACTTGGCGAAGGAGCCATGCAATGAAGGACCAATAGGGCAATCAAGCCTTAAGGCTTCTGACAAAAAACAAAACAACCCCAAGGAAGCTTCGCTTAGGAACCACACTGGACTGGCTTTCCCTGTTTCACTCCATATATACATATATATATATATTTATTAAAGAAACTCCCAATGGGGGGTTTCCCCTGAAAATCCAACAGCCCAAGGGCTTCCCCTTTGAAAAGACCTTCCCCCCCCGCTGCCTCGCCCGACGCAAGCCTCGCCGAGCGGCGGACAGTTCCGCCGAGGTGCGAGCTGCTGAAGGCGCAGCGCCCGGAGCTGAAGCTGCTCTCGGACTTCGGGGCCGAGATCCCGGAGCCCGCGGAGGAGAAAGGGGGATTTTTTTTAGGACGGGCCCCGGGTGGAGGGTGCCGGCCACTGGGAAAACACGGCAAGATGAGCAGGGATGTGGAATTTCAAGTTGGAATGTTTGGTGGACGTCAGAATTCGGGGACAAAAGGCTTCGACAACCACTTGGGGGCTCCCTAGAAAGATTCACGGGCAAACGGGTGTCGTTCTTCAAGCGTGTGATTTGAGGGCGGGTAGCCCAATTCAGGTTGGGATAAAGGGAATCCAAAAGAAAACAAACATATTCGGGGGAGAGCTCACCTGGGTTCTTTTCGGATGCGACACACACACAAACAAACAAAACAAACATCAAACAACAAACAAGCAAGCCCACCAACAAGCAAACAAGCAAGCAAACAAGCAAGCAAACAAGCAAGCAAACAAGAACCAACAAACAAACAAACAAACAAACAAACAAACAAACAAACAAACAAACAAACAAACAAACGAACAAACAAACAAACAAACAAACAAACAAACAAACAAACAAACACACAATCAAACCCACAAACACACAAACACACAAACACACAAACACACAAGCAAGCAAGCAAGCAAGCAAGCAAGCAAGCAAGCAAGCAAGCAAGCAAGCAAGCAAGCAAGCAATCAAGCAAGCACGCAAGCAAGCAAACAAACAAAGCAACCAAACAAACAAACAAACAAACAAACAATCAAACAAACAAGCAAGCCCACAAACAAGCAACCAAACAAACAAGCAAGCAAACAACCAACCAACAAACAAACAAACAAACAAGCAAACAAGCAAACAAACAAACAAACAAAGCAGCAAACTAGCAAACAAGCAAGCAAACAAAGAAACACGCAAGCACCCAAACGAACAATGAATTAAACAGACAAACAAACCTATACATACATTCACAAACAAGCAAACACACAAGCAAGCAAGCACGCATGCACGCACGCAAGCGCACACACAAACACAAGCGCCACGCACCCCCCCCCACACACACACACACACACACACACACACACACACACACACACACACACACACACACACACACACACACACACACACACACACACACACACACACACACACACACACACACACACACACACACACACACACACACACACACACACACACACACACACACACACACACACACACACACACACACACACACACACACACACACACACACACACACACACACACACACACACACACACACGCATCTAGAGGTTGAATTTGATCCGTTCAGGACGTGGCCTTCGGGTGCTTCTGGCGGCCACCGTGTGGCTCGCTGCCCTTGACGCTGCGGCAGTCTGGGGCCCCGATGACGACTGACCCTCGGGGTTCAGCAAAGGAAAATGCATAGCTCAACCCCCACAAACACGGTGGGTGGGTGTTTCTTGTTGGCGCCCCAAGAGCTTTGGGTTGTTGTTGAAGGCAAAAGCTGAAGCTCCCATTTTGTGAGTGCATTTCCGAACTTCGAGGAGGCTTACTCCAGGTTGTTGAGCTGTTGACGTTTTGGTTTCGCATGTTCTGCTTTGGCCAAGAGGGCAAATCTAATTGCGACCTCGGCTGCGGGGGTTGGGTGTGGGGTGTGTGTGTGTGTGTGTGCGACCTTGGGCCTCTGGTTCATTTCATAGGGGTTCAAGTAAATCTAGGATGCGTGACTGGCCTCAATTGATTCAAGGTCTTGTATAGTTTACTCAGAGATGAAGCTGGAATTGCAACTGAGGCTTGAAGGATTGCTGTTTAAGCACAAACAGGAGCTTTGTCCAACCAGAAGAACAACAAGAAGCGCCCTTTTCCAGAGGAAGCCAGCGGGCAAGCTTGTATTGAGCTGCGTTTCCCTTTTGACACAACCACACCAGAACCCGCACGAGGTCACAGGCAGATTGCTCGAAATCAACAAAGAGAAGATGTTTGTGGGTTCTCTTTGAACAGGCTTCCTGCACACTTCCATGCTAGCTTGAGGCAGATTCCCGCCGTCTTTGGGGATCCGCACTCCAAAACCAGCTATCGGAAGTTGTACAGCCCCAAGGGTCGTGACAAACCTTGGAAACAGCCAGGTGAGGGCCCGACGCCAATGTGTTTCGTTTGGCGAATTTGCAGCATCTGCTGAGGTTCGCAGAGCAGAGCGGCTGGTGGGAGGAGGGCTGGCAGGCGCTCGCTTCAGTTTTCGCTGTGCGCTGCTGGGGGATTTTGAACCCCTGGTTCTATAGATGGAACACATACCAGCCCTGAACCTCCAAACCAGCGGGCTCCAAAACAAGCAGAGGGAAGCTGACGTTTCTCGTGGCTGTTCAGTGGCTGTGCATCCCAGTAAACCCTTGGGCCAGTGGTTTGCGGGTAGTGAAACCCATCTTAGAGGCCCTCACTTGCTTGAATGTTCGGCTAACTTAATAGGTTATAAGTTATAACTGTTGCCAATGGTTATAGCTCGGGAAGTGATCGTCTTGCCATGGTAAACTACTTACATGACGTTGGTTAATCTCAGTTGTCCAAAGCCGAGCCTTTTTGACCTTTTTGTTTTCCCATGGTCCATTCGTCCAGGTTTCCCCTAAACGGTGATCACCTGTTATTTCCAGACCCGATACATACATTTTAAACCAATAGAAAACAATTCTCAACATCCATTCCGCGCTAGTTGAGGATTGATGGATGTCTTGTAGGTTTCTCAATGCACAAGCTACGGTGAAAAAAAACATTCACGCCCATGGAGACAGGCCAAGCTAAGCCGCTATTCACCGCTAGTTCCCGCTCATTGTTGCTAGTAGGAACTAAGACCCCCGCAAGCCGGTGAAACACTTGCCGGGCAAACATGTGGCTGTGGCTCAAAATTAAACAGGAGGGGCAAACCGCAGGTTTTGGTCCATGTTTCCACTTACCGATCGGGCAACCCATTTTGGAAGTCCTGTTTCTTGAGCCACAGCCGCATGTTTCCGGGGATTTTTTTTAGATTTCCAGGTCCAAACTGAGTCACCGAGTCCTGGGCGCTCGAAGGCGGCAGCTCTGGAGGCCCCCAGCGCGCAGAAAGCGCCGGCGCTGCTGGAGGCGCTCATGGCCTGCTCCGTGCAGCTCCTCTACGCGTCTGGGACAAAGGGGCCCCGGTTTTATATGTGGGTGGAGATCTATATGTTTTTCTTTCTTTCTTTTTTTTTGTGGGGGGGGGGTCGTTGTCCTTTTTTTTCCGTTTCTTTTGGGGGGCGGGGGGGGCGGGGTGTGGCTTGGTTTGGGGATTTGGCTGTTGTTTTTGTTTGTATACCGGATTTGGGGAGTTTTGAGACTTTGTGTGTGTGTGAATTTCAGGGTTTTGGTTTGGTATGTAAAGACCTTGGTCTGGTTTTAGTCGACGAGGGGACCCCCAAATGAGGGAAACAGTTTTTGGGTTCCCAGTCCTTCAAGACAGCCAGAAGGGTATCCTCGAAAAGACGTGCACCTAAAGCAACTTCCCCCCTCTTGGATTCTTTACACGGTCTTGGGCGCTGAAACCTGGGTTTTGACTAGGGTTAGAGTTGTTCAACCAAACGCACCCTTGTCTTAAAAGGGAAACCTAAAGCAGGTTCAACTATTGGGTAAAGCATGTGAGCCTGTGGTTGTCCCAACCCCAGCCTCAACCCTAGTCGCTTAGTCCCAACTCAAAGCTGCGGGCTGGCAAACAATCGATGCCTTTGCTTTTTCTTTCCGGCGGTTTCCAAGAATCCGCGACCGCAGGTCAGCTATGACAACAACGGTTTAGAACAAGGGGCGTATGCAGTCATACCTTGAGCTATATTCACCACGCTGCACCTTTTTGATGCACTGTGCCTTACGTGAATGGCGGCAATCTACGGAAGCACAGACCGGGTACAGACATGTGGGCTTTTCGTTTCCCGGGCCGGGAATGGGGCTTCATCGTAACCTTTACTTGGGCTTCTGCCTTTGAGTTCGCCTGGTTCGGTTCGGCTGGGCTTGAGCAAGCTGCCGTTTGCGTCTCCTTCGCATCTTGCTGCGAACTCGGCAGGGAATGAGAAATGGAATGCAGAAATACCGGATCCAACTGGCTTCCTTTCGTAAATTTGGGAATCCCCGAAAACCGGGTTCGTTCCACTTCGCTTTCCGCCCCGATCGCAAGTTGGTTTCTGACTAATTAGGTCCCCCAGCTAGGTGCCCTTTTACTGTTTCTTTTTTGGTTGGGAGGATTCCCTTACTCAAATAGACAAAACTGAAAAACAAGTCGGGTACCAACTTATTCTAAGCTCTGAAATCAGGACCTAGCTGATGGGAGGGATCTGTAAAACGCCTGAAGATCATATGCAGGGAACGATCTCCTGAGGTGCCGGAGGAGCTTCCGGCGGAGCTGCTGGAGCAGCTGTCCTCCCGTCAGGACGAGCTGCTGCAGCGGGTCCTGCTGACGTCTTCGGAAGCGCCGGAGGCGCCCGAAACGGCGGAGGCGTTTCCGGCGGAGGCGGAGGCGGAGTAGGTTTCACCCCGTTGGAGAGAGGTTCCTCAGAGAGACGTTGGTCATCTTTTTTAAAGCTGGATTTTTGTTTTAAGCTGTTGAGTTGTTTAGTCCTGTTTTGTTCTTTGACATGTGGTTTAAATCAATGACTGGCACCGGAAGGCTGCTTGCCCGTTTTATTGCTTTTCAAAGAGCAATCGTTGCAACGACACGGCTGATGTTTGTTGGCAATCTCTGAGGTCTGCATGAGGCTCATGGCCAGAATCTCATCGGAAGTTGCCAACGGGCCGAGTTGCCAATCGCCGGGTCCATCAATGGATCCATTGCCCAAGACGGGCAAGGTTGGTTCAAATCCGTGGAGATGTGCGTGGATGAGGGGCATGCCGCGCCTTATCTCGATTGGTCGGCGGTGTCGTTTCTGAAGACGCCCTGTTGCATTGCCAAACTTCTTAGTTTATATATCGGGTTTACGTTTTGCCTTTCGACATTGTTCAATCACTTTGAACCAGCAACACGTTGATTTTCTGCAGGTGGTCTAAGCCGGACTCAGATGAAACCAACCACTCTCAGTGGCCCCTGCTCCCGCTGTTCACTGAGCTAACGGTCGCGCGCCTGGCTCAAGTTTAGGTGCTTTGCAGCCGAAGTGAATGCTCAATACCATGATCAAGATGGTAATCTGTTTTTAGGTATCTAAATCCGGAAGATGTAAATCCACACTGCTTGCAAGGTGATTTGTTTACCTCCCCACCGAAAAGCTGAGCTCGTGTCCCTTATTCTCCTTGCCATGGCCTCTCCTGATTTGCGTGGGTGGCTCGTCCAAACTGGCTTCGGCTTTCCTGTTCTGTTGGTTTCCCCTTTGAAAGCCACAGAAAACGGGTACCCTCAAAAAGACAGACCAGGAATCAACCTTTGCCAAGCCAGTGGAACAAGTCAAAGATGTAACCCTACGGGCGGGTGGATGGTCCAAACCCAACCCTGGAAACACGACAGGTACGGTCCACCTGGAGCCTTTGGTGTTGGAGAACTTGGGACTTGGGGGCCGACGCTGACTTTTTCTCAGACCGGCTTGTTGGAATCGGCAGGTTTCCCACAAACAGAATGGGTCATTGGGAATGGCCGGCCATCACATGAAGTTCGGCCTTTTGTTTCCGGAAGTCCATCATCAGTTTGGGGCTTAGGATAGTGGGGGCTCCCTGATGTTCTAAGAAAACATCGCAGGGTAATGTTCGCCTCTTTTGATCTCCGTCCCACAACTCTGCCTTTTGGAACTAGGGTCAACCCCATTCTTTCCGGGGATGCTTCTTTTCAGAAGACAGCTGGTTTTTGAAAGGAAGGATGGTTTTTCAACTAACGGGAACCACGCCCTATTCTTATCCGTAAAATTATGGGTGGCTTTTCCTGCATTTTGAAGGGAACCTCATGGGACCCGCGTTTGAGCCGGCCGGCCTTCTTCTGATCCGATCGCTGGATTCGAGTCGGTCGGACATGGGACCTGGGAGGGGATCCAATGTAAGCACCACACTCCGGCAAGCAAATGTGACTAGTCCCCCCATGTAGTGCCCTTTTACCGTTTCTGTTTTGGTTGGGAGGGTTCCCCTACTAAAATAGACTGCAGAAAAGAAGGGTACCCTTATTCTAAGCTCTCTACTGGAGGACCTAGGTGACTATCCCTATTTGAGACCTGTTGCGTGTTTTCTCAATCTAGGACTTGGGCATGAACCCCTGGTCAAGGACATCCACATCGTCTTTCTGTTGTGTTGCTGGTCGGTTGGGCTGCTGCGCTGTTGGATGCTGTTTGGTTGGGGGCTGCTGAAATTCAGTCGGGTTCAACCGTGGCAGGGTTCCACGTCGGGCACCACTTGCGCGCGCCCGCACTTTGGGTGTGGCAGGGCGCCCCTTCGCCAGCACTGCCCAACCCCCCCCCCCCCCGGTTAGCCGCCTCTTCGTTTTGGGCGCTTTTGCTTGACTGCTCTTGGGTTACATCTCTAGACTTTCACTTTTTGGTGGAAATCTTTTGGAGTTTCCACGGAACCCCCAAAAAGTGAAACACTTTTTGCAGGGGGGGTGAATTTCAAGCATTCTTTTGTGGGGGGCTGCCCAGGCAGGTGACGCTGCTCGACTTCCTGTGCTCCCTGGTCTTCGGGGCCATGAGCCTCGCGGCAGCGCGGAGCCGGGAGCTAAGCGGATCCCGACACAGGGTCCTCAGGGATACCTCTGGCGTTTGGTTTTCTTTTTGTTTCTTCTTCTTTTTTTCGGAGGGTGCCCCCCCAAAATGGCTGTGGGTCAAAACCAATGGGATCCCATTTTGGGGTAGGTGCACCACCCATTTTAGAACCTATTTTAGTGGGGATTGGGATGTTCACTGGGGGTACAGGGTTGTCCTTTTGGTGTCTCCTAAAACCAAGTGCAAAAAGGGTACCATCTCAAAGAAGAACACTCGCTTTGCAAGGGGATCCTCTAAATCAGATGTTAGGTAACCTTGTAAATCAGATGGCCTTTAAAAAGTTAAGCATGAACACCTTGGCCATTTGGAAGATGAATCCTTTTCCACCAGACCAAAAGTAAACCCCTGGGGATGGCTGGCGAAAAACATGAGGCACCATCAACCCACCCCGTTGATCGTCAACGGAAGACTACTCGTACCTTTCAACAAACATTTCCCCAAGTGGAAAGGGCAAGAATCTATGGGACGGCGTTGTCCTGAGGATATGAACAACTCAGTTGGCCTATCCTCAAGATCCTTTTTTTTATACCCCCCTTGTGTGGCAGCAACGTCTCAAGCCGGTTCAAGCATCAGGCTTGCCCAACAGTCTTGGGTCGCTGCTGCTCCTAAATCGGGGTTCGCCCGGGGGGTCTAGACCCCATATTGATCAACCCCAGTTGATTAATACGGGGGTGTCCCTGAATTTAGTTGGAAATCATACCACTTTTGGAGGGGAACACCCCCCCCATAAACTGGGGTCGATTGATATGGGGTCACCAGTACTGATCTGTACTGGCCGAGTAGCATTTGCCATTAGCTAGTAGTGGCTCAGACTTGTTGCTAGGAGCAAAAGCATTCTGTATCCTCCACCCTTTTTCTGTATAGGTTCGGGAATGGTTTGCAGTGACGCCCTTTGGCATGAATCGTTTTCAACAACAAGTCGCTTTAGGCTCTCGCGGTCGCTCGGATGGAGCGCGAGGATCGCATAAAGATGAGCAACACAAAACTTGCAAGAAGATGTACTCACCTCCAAACTTAGGATCAGCGATGCTTGGAGTACTCGAGTTGCCAAACGGAAACCTATTCCGAGCAATTCCGAGTTGGTTTGCAACAATTAGGTAGACCTGAAGCCAATACTTAATCATTCCAACTGACATGCTACTTTCGGAAAGACTCATCTACTTGCAACTCACAGGCCGTGGTATACGGCACGCCAAACCAAACCAACCAAGACTCGGAGAGTCAACTTCTGAACACATCTGTACAGCAACAATATACAAGCTCCAACACCTTCTTACCTCAATGTTGCGGAGTGGATGGGCGGTAATAGGGGCCCTTTGTTTTTCCTAACAAGGAAAGGCATATTGCAAAATAAATGTCAGTATTTCCCCCCAGGCGCTTACCTGCCAATTTGGCAAACTTAAGTTGGTCGGTCGGTCGGTCGGTCGGTCCGTCCGTCGGTTGGTCGGTCGGTCGGCCGGTTGGTTGGTTGGTTGGTTGGTTGGTTGGTTGGTTGGTTGGTTGGGTCGGTCCGTCGGTCGGTCGGTCTTTCGGCCGGACGGCCGGTTGGTTGGTTGGTTGGTTCATGATTTCAACCAAGGCACACTTTTGGGTGGCTTGTCAACTCAGCAGACGGGGTACCAGCAGTTTTGAAAGAACAACTGACGCAGGCGTCCATCAACATTGGCGTTGAGATGGGACTCAGCTTTATCAAGCAAACAGTTGGCTCCGGAAGGACATGTCAGTCGCTGGCTCTACCAGCCTGAAAGCGGAAGGCAGAGAAAACAACACTTGTTTGAGAAGTTTCTTCACAGAAAAGACCACCATTTCGAGGTGTCCAACCAACAAGCGGGACCCAAGACCCGCCGTGTGCGTGAGTCACTGAGGTGTGGGCATCATTTCTGGTAGCTACGCATGCAGCAAGAATGGCGGCTACTGCAGGGAAACCCAGATTTGCATGTGACGGCCTGAGTAAAATTAGAGCGAGGTGTTTTGTCCAACTGATGGGGTTTGGGTTCCTTTGGGAGCTCATTTCTGGTCTCGTCGCCCGGTTGGAGCAACAGCATCGTTCAGGTCCAATAGCTTTGTGTTGGGAGGGCCTACCAACAGAGCAACACACTTGGCCAGTCAACAAAAGCACATTGATCGTGGCTCACGTGGAGTTCAGTCGACAAGCCTTCCCTCAGGATTTCTCAATGGGCTTAAAATAGGCCCCAAACGAATTATTCGGTATTCTCTTGGTTTGCCTTTGAGACCAACAAACGGTACCCTCAAAAGAAAGACAACCCCAAATGGGTCTCCTAGTGATTTTGCCCTATTACGGCATCCGGACTGGCCAAAGCAAAAAGACTCCACGTTCCACAGCCCCTGAGATCTGAGATGGGCTCAGCCCTGAAGCACGGATCGGAGCTTCTCTCAACCGAGAAGCCATCTCTGCGATGGTTCGAAAAGCAAAAGGGGGAGCAACCAACTTGGATACCCATCCAACATGGAGTTCCACCAGAGGATCCCTTCAGGAAAACCGTACCCAGGACGCGGGGCATGTCCCAAAAGTGGCTGGCTCCTCCCCTTCCCCCCCCCCCCCCTCTCCCCCCTTTTTTTGGGTTTCTCTTGAACGTTCCAGGCAACAACGTGCCCCCCCTTTTTTGGGGGGGCTTCCCTTTTAAATTTTCCGACCGGCAAGGGGTTCCACGTGGCCGTCGCCTCGCGGGCCACGCAGCTGCCTCTCCCAGGTCTCGCAGGCGTGGAGGAAGACGCCACAGAGCTGGGCTGGCTGGTCCTGGGCGCCGTCGCCTGTCGTGTGCGGAGACTCAACGCCGCGGTGGAAACGGAGAGACATTCCGGTGGAAACGAGGTTTGGGGTGAGCATGGTTGTTGTTGGGAAACATCTTACTTTTTGCTTATTGTGGATTGGTGGGAAATCTCACTTAACTGCTAAAATCTAAACGTTTGCTCCCTTCCAACGTCAACCAAGCGAGGGGTTTTGGTGGTTTCAGTGGGTTTTTGATCCTTATGGTTGTACTCTTTGGCATGATGTCACGTTTGAACCACCATTGATTTTGAGCGGCCTTGTCGTCTTCCTGGAAGGGAACCGGGGGTTGGTGGTTTCAGCCTTTGCCCAAGCCTGACTGGGACCCCTCAATGGATCATGAAAGCATGCGTGGTTCGGGCTAAGATAGACTAC